CCGCCCCCGCTTCCCGCCGGGCCCCTCTCCCGAGAGGGCGCCACCTGCACGCTCTGATGGGCACCGGCGCCAGCCACTGGGGGAGCTTGTTGCCATGGCAGCGCGGGAGGCTGGGCCCTCGTTCCCATGGCCACCCGAGGCCTCGGCGCGGAGTCCTTTTAGCAGTGCCTTAAACCTACTCCTTACTCGCAAATCTGGAATGGAGAGAGAGGCAGGAATCCTGATCCGGGAGGGAAATCATTTGGGATTTGGAAAAAGCCTGGGCCCTTCCTCGTAATGGTCGTGGTGTGGCCTTTGAATTAGGCTTTTGTCCTGGCTGTTTCTGTCTGAGTGACACGTGGATGTAGGGGTTAGGAAGGAAAGACGTTGGGATCCTGGAAACGAGGCTGATCTAGTGGCCACTCTGGAGTCGTTCTGGTCTGGCCAAAAGACTCAGAATCCCTACATCCCCCCGGGGAAGGTCTTCAGCCCTCTGCTCGTATTTCCCAACCTGATTGTGAGTAGGTAATTTGACTTAGGAATCATAGGATTCTTGTTAAGAGTCAAATGCCGCAAGAACGGTGAAGGGCATACTTTTTTAAAAATTGTGGTGTTTTTTTTTTTTTCCATTGATGCTTTAGAACTGAAAGAGGTTTAGGAATCCACCTAGTTGCACCTTCTTACTTTCATAAGAGAAACTGGACCCAGAGAAGTTAAATTACTTCCCAAGATGACAGTGGGTTGGGAAGGTCAGCGTTTGAGGCCAGTATCCTGACTTAAGGGCTATGGCTGTTGCCTTTTTGGTTATTTTACTGAAGCTCAGGGAAGTCTGGGATAAGTCCCCTGGCAACCCTGGGGCTCAAGCTTTTCGTGACAGGTGACCTAAAGACGGGCCGTGGAGGCTGGAGCCTTGGGGAGAGCTGAAAGAACCCCTCTCCCTTGTGCGTCAGTCCTGTGCCTTGGGGCTCTTGCTTTAATATGATATTTGACAGGATTGCCTTAAATAAGGCCCCAGGAGCCGCGCATTCAGCAGCTCTCCAAAATACCGTTTCTTCTGAAGCCAACAGATCTGTTCAGACTGTATGAGCACCCTTTGGCTGCCCTAAAGCAGGGAAGTGGGACTTCCCCCCATCAGTGAGGTGCCTTTTCCTTTGAAAAAGTTAAGAGGGAGGTGGGAAGAGAGATCCAGGAAGGAACACTTGAATGAATCATTTGGAAATGATTCGAGGCAGTCAGCTAGAGCAGAAAACTCACGTATTCATTTATTAAACATTTACCGGGTACCCACTGTTTGCAAGCTCTGCACTGGGGCAGAAGATTAAAAACCTGTGTTAGGCAGGCCTGGTCCCTACACTCAAGAAGCTTGTAAGAGAGATGGCCAGAGAGAAATGTGATGTGTAAATGAGCATGTCACTAGAGCACAATGCGTGCCTTAATGGAAATCTGAGCACAGGGCAGCGGAGCCCAGAGGAGCGGCTCCGGAAATCAGCTGAAAACAGCCTGAGTCTAGCCTGCACCGCCTGGGAGCACTTCTGGGGCTCTGCCAAGGGGGCCCTGGCCAGTACCTTTGCTGGGAGACAAAGGAATGAGTGAGTGAAAGTGTCTAGATAAATGTGGCCCAGGATGGGGATTCTCGGGAAAGAAGAGTTTTAGGGACCCTGATAAACTGGAAACTCTATGAAGGCAGCGACCTGTTTCCTTCAGTTTCTGCAGCGCTTACAAGGTAACACGTGGACAAGAAAGATTTGTTGAGCGGATGAAAGAAGGAAGGAAGGGAATAAAAGAGGGAGGGAATGGGGGAGAAGAGGAAGGAAGGAAGGAAGGAAAGGGACAGCAGTTTATATGATTAAGAAGAGGATGGCTGTAAGTTGAGACAAAACCCTGGTTGAAATTCTAACTACAGGTTCTGGAGTCAGATCTGGGTTCTGGTGCTGCTCCTGACTTACCGCTTGTGTGACTTTAGGAAGTCCCTGAACCTCTCTGTGCCCCAGTTTCTCACCTCAGGAGTGGGGATATAGTAATCCCTATCTCTCTCTGTTGTGAGAATTACATAAAAGATTGAACAGAAAAAGCTCAGCACAGTGTCTGCCTCAGTGGGTAGTAAGTATTCAGTAATAGCCTTACAAACGTCAACTTTGCTTTAGGTGAAATAGTTTGCCAAGCAATTCATGTCAAGGTTATAAAACTACTCCAAAAATGAGATAAATAATTTCTTTTTACCTGATAAAGGCTAATTGTGAAAGGTGCCTCTGTCTGCAGATTAACATACCTCAAAGAAATGGTTCTTTACCTTTTTTTTAAAGATTTTCGTTATGTATTTGACAGAGACACAGCAAGAGAGGGAACACAAGCAGGGGGAGCGGGAGAGGGAGAAGCAGGCTTCCCGCGGAGCAGGGAGCCCGATGCGGGGCTCGATCCCAGGACCCTGGGATCATGACCTGAGCCGAAGGCAGACGCTTAACCACTGAGCCACCCAGGCACCCCGGTTCTTTACCTTTTTTTTTGTAGGGGGAAGGGAACAGTGATCTTTTTGAAAGCAGATGAAAGCTCTGCTCTCACCAGAGACCACATATCATTCTCAGGGTTCATAGCTCCCTGAAGCCCGCCCTCGCTGCTCATAGGCTGTCATGAAAGAACTGAGGCAGAATTCACAGAGGAAGAGCCTGGGAAGAGCAAGGTGGGCCTGCTCTCATTCAGGGGGTTTGTGGGGTCCCTGCAGAAGCCACAGCTGGAGGAGCTGGAGCTCTGCCTATGCAGCTGGGTGGTCCAGGCCCCGGGCCCAGGTCCCCTAGAGACCCTCCTCTGCTTCGGACAAGCTGGGCCCACTTGGAGCCTCATAGTGTCCTCCGGCCTGATGCTTCCTCACAACGCATCAACGGGGCTGCCGGCAGTCCTGGGCCAGGGTGCCTGTGTGCAAGATAGTTGTCCCAGCACGGATCTTTGGTGTCCCCACACCAGCTGTGAGTGTTGTCTCTTAATACCACTGCTTTAGGGTGCGGCAGGTGGGGACACCTCCCTCCACCATGACCAAACAGGACAGTAGTCCTCTCTTTGGAGCTGCAGGAAATCCGTGGAACCTGCCTGTCTATCCCCCACCACCCTGATGGGCTCGCCTGTCTTGGCCCACTCTGTAGGAAGCAGTGGAACCAAGAGCAAGGTGATCTCTCTGGCAGCCACCGGGTGACCCGAGGTGACCAGGAAACTACAGGGGTCAGAGAGCCCCTCATCTTTGCGAAGGGAGAGCCTTGGGCTTCCGGAAAGGAGGTTAGTTTCCTGGGGTGGAGGAAGGGCCCTGACCCGGGCCTTCTTTCCCTTCATGGGGCAATGGCCAGGAGTCTGGAGCTCAGAGTGCGATTCAAGGAGGAAGAACTTGGTGGCAAAGGGGGCAATGGATTCCTGATTTCTTGGCATCTTGGGAAGGGAGGGGCCTCAGGCCTGATAAGCCAAAATGGAAACCGAGCTTTCCTAGATCCTTAGAACATCTACCTCCCACCTAAGAGTGGATGCTGTGGCGTCAGAGAAGGAGAGTCCCTGAGCAGTCCCTGTGCCTCTTCTGGGTGGCAGGTGCCAAGCATCAGCCAGGCCAACTCCCCAGGCCCCCTAGGCGCCCCCTGTGAGCAGGACTGCAGGCCCAGGCAGACAGGCCCCCCCACCGCCCCCCGCAACTGGTATTGGGGGCAGGGGAGTGACAGTGGTAACGTCATGTTCTACCCTGTCAGGACTGGGACAGGTTGAGCCCTGCTGGTTGCACCCCAGCCCTGTGGGGCAGGGGGGTCCCCTCCCAGGGAGTGGCCAACTCAGGCCCCAACAGGCCCCGGCGGGGCTGGCACTGGGGCGGGGGGTAGGCTGTTCACCACAGGGAGCGCGGCGGGGGCCCGGGCTGGGCAGGCCGGTTCCTTCTGCCCTGGAGAGTTGCAGACTCAGCACTCGGCTTGCAGGAGGCAGCTGAACCCGAGGGGAGAGGCCAGAAGGGGCTCCTCGGGGCCGGGCGTGTAAGATGGCTAAGAGTTACCGAGAGGTCGTGGCAACTTGCGGGTAGGGGAGGCGAGCCGCCGCCTCAGGAAGCCTGGCTCTGCTTGGGGGGCGCTCACCGCGGGCCTCACCGCCGGTGCCCAGATGTCAGGGACTCTGCTCAGTTCTGCTCAGCCCCGGGAGGGACTGCTGGCGTTCCCATCTCACAGATGAGGAAGCTGAGGCTCAGGGACATCGTGTGGCTGACTCACAGCCCACAGAGTAACGGATGGTGCTGACATTCTTTGGACAGAACTGGCATGCTTCGCAACTGGATCCTACCACCTACCAGAGCCAGAAACCCAGGGACCAGTGGCGGGGTCGGAACAGAGTGGGGGTCGGGGATGAGGCCATTTCCATGTATTGCCAGACGCTGGTTAAAAGCTGCCCACGAGGCCTGAAGGCAGTGTTGGTGCTGGCCCCCGTGAATGCCCTCTGCTGCGGAGGGCGCTGCCCCCGGGAGGCTCCCAGCCCCCAGGATCTGGAAGTCACTGGCCGATTTAAAAGCACACACGGTATGCCAGCTGGTGTCGCTTCCTCATCAAAATGTATTGATGCCGCTGCCCAGCCCCTGGGGAGGAGACACCAGCAGCGTGCCCAGCCAGGGGGTGGGGGGGCAGCTGCAGCTGCAGCCTGCCATCAGAGGACGGCCCAGGGCTACGAGGGGATGGTGGCAGGGGGCCAAGGCCCGGGGAGCTGGGCCGCAGCCCGTGCGTGTCTGTGAGGCCTGGCCAGGCAGCCTGCCAGCAGAGCCCGGGACGGGGAGGAGCACGGTGCCACTCCAGAGCGGGGGTGGATGGGACCTCTGGGTTCAGGCTTCAGCGGGCTTTGGCAGGAGGCCCCTCCCCCGTGGCCAACAAACAAAGCAGTGACTCCCAGAGTAGAACTGTGGGAGCTGGAAAGCAAGGTTGCCCTGGGTGGGAATGAGAGCAGGCGGGCCTGGCCAGGGGCTGCCTGGCAGGAGCCATCCGTGCCCGAGGACGTGGCTGGCCAGCACCTGGGCAGGGCCTGTGCCTGCAGACGATGAACGATGAGTGATTGCTTGGGAAGCTGGCGGTGTCCTGACCATGGCCCTGCCAGGACTCTGCCCGGCCTAGGCCCGGGCCGTCTTCCTTTGTGCTAAGCAGGTTAGAGAGGCAATGGGCACATGAGTTTGTGTGCTTTACCTTTTTACCCTTCTTCTCCTCTTGTAGCCTCTTATTTCTCTTCATTCTCTCCCTCTTCTGTAGCTCTTCTCATCTTTTTTTTTTTTTTTTAAGATTTTATTTATTTATTTGAGACAGAGAGAATGAGAGACAGAGAGCATGAGAGGGAGGAGGGTCAGA